CACACACACACACACACACACACACACACACACGCACGCACACACGCACACACACACACACACACACACACACACACAAACACACTCTCTCCATTGACTTTGCTTCTTTACAGAATCCAGCCTAACACACGCACCCTGACTCCAATAAACAATGCCAATTAGATATGCAAAGAGGAAGGGGAGTAGCCACTCAAGCTGATGGGGTCGGCCCAGGGTGACGACATGTGGGCCATATGTGGGAAGAAGTGGGATTTGCAGTCTTCTTAGAGAGCCAGAATTGCTGCCGCCCAACCAGATGAGCGCAGCCCCAAGGGAAAGAAGTCCAGCCTGAGCTTCAAGGGTCAGGATTATTTCTGTTTCTAAATAAGATGGAAACAAAGCTGACTAGAGTGCTTCCATATACATGTCTGCAGACTTTTAGATCAAAAGATGCTGCCTCCTAAGTCTGTCTCCTTGGTAACGAAAAATGTTTTTAGGTAAAATTATTACACATCTTTACAAAGTACTCTCAGACACATTTCAAAAGAAAATTACTTAACTGGGACAGTATAAGGAAAAAAGAAAACACAAGGTTATGCCAGGATGGTCATTATCAAGATAAGTAATTTGGAGATAACTCACTGAACTACATACATATAATGTAAAGGATTTTCTGCATGTGTGTTATTTTCAGTTAACAGTCATATGATTACTACTGGCATTATTTGAGTATATGATGGAATCAACACCATCTAACACCAGCAGCTTTCTGGTGTTCAGTAAGCTGTTCTTACACTGCACTCAACTTATCTGTCAAAGCTCACTGCCATTGTGTTGGCACAGATTCATAGCGGACCCTCTAGTAGATTTCTGAGGCTGTAAATCTTAGGAAGACATTGCCCATCTTTCTCTTGTAGCACCATTGTTGTTATTGTTGTGTACCATACAGTCGGAACCAAACCACAGCTGACCCTCCAGTGGGTTTTCAGAGGCAGTTAATTGCATGGGAGGAGATTGCCCATCTTTTTCCTGTGGAACAGCTGGTAGCCTTGTACCGTGTGCCTTTGGGACCGCAGCGCAGCTTCTTACTACTACGCCACCAGAGCTCTCTAGTGGATCTGAATTGCCAGAGAGGTATCACCTTTGGGTTAGCAGTTTAACTCCTTATCCACGGGGTCACCGAAACTCCCTTCTTGTCAAAAGTACTACAAAATTAACCAGCTCAAAGGAAAAGCTGGTTGTGCTTCTCAAACAATCAAAGCCTTCAAATACATTCTCAATATTTATAGTCGGCTGGGATTTAACAACTCTGTCCCCTACTCTGAAAAAGTTTTAACAACCGCCAAGAACCCAACATATCAGGCTGTTAACCAAAAGATAGGGAGCTCTGGCGGCCTAGTGGCAAGAAGCTGCGCTGCAATCCTGAAGTCCTGGTTCAAGGCCACCAGCCACTTCGCAGGGGCCGGATGGGCAATCTCCTCCCTTTCGATTAATGGCCTCTGAAAACCCACCTGAGGGTCTGCTACAGTTTGGCTCCTTGGTACACAATAAACAATAACAATAAAAATGTCAGGACTTTGAATCTAACAACCATTTGGTAGCAGAAAGAGGAGCAGTCTTCTCCAATAGAGAGTCACAGCCTTACAAACTGGATGGAAAATCCCTAAGAGCTAAAACAACTCCACAGCGATTGCTTGTCAGCAGCGAGTTTGTCCCTTGGTGTAAAACGAGAGAACCTCAAATACATTCTACACTCTACAGAAAATTTCCCCCTATCTAATTATGTATAAACTGATGTTCTCCTCAAGACAGACTCAACAGGCTGAACAGTCAAACTCAAGATCGGGAAAGATTCGTTTTTATGGAACCGAATGCTGGCTGAGGAACTGGAAAGAAAAGTCTACAGTGAAAAGGACCAAGAGAAACGGCGAGGAAAGGGGGAGACCGGAAAAGAAGAATGCATTCTGTCGGCAGTGAAGATCCCATAATCCCAAGAACCTAGAAGAACTCCAAGCCAGAATCCCATTCTGAGGGCCAAGAGTGAGATTTTGGAGAAGTCTCTCTGTAAAAAAGAGGCAGAGGGATGTTGCAGGCCGGGGGCCTACCTAGTATGAGCAACAGGGAGAGATCGGAGGAAAAGCAGACTGGTAACGAGGTCTGGGGATGGAGACCCAGAGGACTAAAAGTGGGACCTCATGGGAGGGTCTGCAGGAAGACAAGGAGAGAAGGGGTATCTTGCAGGTGTGGTCGGCAGATCCCTAAAGCTAGCGATCTGACTTACTTTCTCCGCTGGACCTGCACCGCTTTGAAAACATCTTCCCGTTTCAGCACCACGAAGTCGCCGTCACGGATGCAGTGGCCTCCGGGCTGCGGGCTTGGCTGCTCCCCAGCACCCTCCATGACGTTTCGCCCGCTCCTCTGCTCCGAGGGGTGTCTCTCCAGCTCCTCCTGCCCGGCTGTCTGCGTCCACCCGCTGCACCTCCCACAACCCGGCAGAACCCGTAGCCCTCGAACCAGCACCGCCCCCACGTGCGGAGGCTCGCTTCCGCTTTCCGGGCCCGGCTGCGCAGCCGCTTCCGGGAGCCTTCCCACTTCCGTCTGGTTCAACGCTCTGATTGGCCCGGTCCCGCCCCTCCCGTTTTAGCGCCTCGTGGGCTGGAAGTTACGTCATAGAGGCGCCAAAAAGGAATTTGTTGAAGGGTTGAGATTCGGCTCGCTGCGTTCTCAATTTCGGAGGCTTTCGGTAGACGCTGTCACGGTCGCTGTGCAGAAAGTGAACTTGAGCAGCTCTGCCACCGGGGATCCGATTTCCCTTGGGGACATCGGGACGGCTGTTGCTGGAGGACCGCGCGTCTTGGGACGAGTTTGCTCGGACCTCTGAGTATCCTTCCAGTCCCGTCCAGCTTCGGCCCCGGGAGGAAGGGACCCCCGGGCCGCTCCCACCGTGAGCTGGGAGAGCTCTGGGCTCTCTTCACCTTTCACGTAAGCGCTACCCAGGAGATATTACTACAGTACAATATTTAACGAAATACAGGCGCTTAACGGTTGACTCTTATTCTCCAGTTCTACTTTCTTGCATTTGTATTGCAGTATTTGCTAGTTCCTAATTATCATATTTATCTCGCTTGAGAAGTTATTGGCGTCTCGTGTTATCGGAGAACAGTCCTGAGAGTTACGTCTAGTATGGCCTAGATTATTTTTGCCCTCAAGTCGTGTCTGTTTAGTTAGTAAATTATTTAAACCTGTTGAAATGAAGATTCCATTAAACTCATAATGAACCCCACTGCAGTGTACGGATTATTCTTGTTTTTATCCTTCAGATATCAATTTCTTAAAACTCTTATTTCAAAGGTCACTCATTGTGGTTTGTTGCTTCTCTTGGGGAACTGCCTTTGTAGACTTGAATTTTTAAAGAGCAGGTTATCTTCCGAAGTACAAAAAAGAAAAATGAAAGGACAGGGAATTTATTTACAGTATTCTAGCATCTATGTAACTAACTGTGTGCTACTGGCTCCAAAGAGTTCATTTAATCAGTCATGACCTAAAACGTGTCATGGTTCTGGTATCTTTTTTAAAATAATTGTAAATCTTCCAGGAAATTAACTTCTTTAGCCTCAAAAGATCAGAAAGACTAAAGCATCAAGATACTTCCAACTAAAATGTTTATGACATTGCAGGACTGGCCGCCTGTAAGAGTCAAGTGGTACATCTCAAGTGTCATACAGGGTAGGATTGTTTGCCAGCACTGCTTTATAAACTGCAAACAAATTATCCCATAGTTAAATACCTGCCTTATTTATATCCTAGAAACAACATATAGTGCTTTTCTTTATTTTTGTCTCATAAATACATAGTATATTTAGTTCAACAATATCTGTTGTTAGGTGCCATCACGTCGACATAGTGAACTGCCCTGTCCTATGCCATCCTTATCATCTCTGATCTGCTTGAGCCTGTCAATAGTCACTGTGTCAGTCCATCTTCCTGAGGGTCTTCCTCCTTACAAGCATGATTCCCTTTTTTAAGAACCAGCCCCTCCTAACAATGTGTCCAAAGTATATGAGACAAAGCTTCACCATCCTTAATCCAAAGAAGACCGCGTTTGCACTTTCGCTTAGACATATTTGTTTGTTCTTTTAGCAGTCCACATGGGATATTCAAATCTACCTTAAAAAGACAGCGTAGTGTTTGGGGCTTGTATCATCGTGTACCAATTTGCAAGCCTATTTCCTAATCTTAAGATATATTCATTTCCTCTCACAATTTTAATACATTATAAGGCTACTGTTCCCAGTACATGGAGTTCTGGTGGCCTCGTGGTGAGGAGCTGCACTGCCAACTCAAAGGCATGTGGTTCAAATCCACCGGCTGCTGTACTGTAGAACATCAGGTAGTGTCCTTCCATGCAGTTTACTCCCTCTGTAAATCCACTGGAAGGTCAGCTATAAGCTGATTCTGACATTTTAAAGCTTTGCATCCTTTGGCTAAATGAGATAGTAGTCAACAAATCCCTTTGTGGTTTTGGTGAACACTTTTCTAATCTTTTAGAAGACATGAGTGGAGAATATAGAGGCAGAGGATTTGGGCGAGGAAGATTTCAAAGCTGGAAGAGAGGCAGAGGTGGTGGGAACTATTCAGGAAAGTGGAGAGAACACAGACCCGGACTAATTAAAACCACAGGGAAGCATTCTCCTGGTAAGTTGAGAGCAAGGATTGTTCAGTTTTGGTTTTTTCATCAAGGAGGTCTATCATAACAATAATTTCATGTGTCTGTTAATTCGTGGAGATCTTTAGTGTCCCATTTTGTAGGGAGTTGTGTTGTCAACCCCAAACCATGCCTGTCTGACAGTCACATTTCAGCAGTGATTTCCATAGGTGGGCAGTCTCATCTAGTGCAGTTTGTTATTGTTGGATTGCCTTAGAGTCGAGCACGACTCATACCGACCCTATGAACAAAAGGCCTGAAGCCTTTCTGTAACTATCAACATTATCAAAGCTCATAGGCTTTCCAGAGACATACTGTTTTTACACCCTCACAAAGCCAATGGAGGGTTGGTTAGCTATGCGTCCCTTCCAATGTAATGGCAACGAGTTGAGTTGTTTTAGTTGATAATTACTTGTTTGCAAGTAGTTAAAATTTGGCATTCCTAGTGAATTCTCTAATTCAGACACTCTTAATATCATATTAGGCTCTCCTTGTTGAAAGAAGCAGCAGCTTAAAAAAGTCAGTTTTGCTCTATGTCTGCTGACCTAGTATTTGAGCTTTTTGTGGTGTTTTTGTTTTTCAGAACAGACCCCACAATCTTTGCAGTTACAGTCAACACTGGACCAGTTCATACCATATAAAGGCTGGAAACTTTATTTCTGTGAAGGTAGGGCTAAAAGTTTGAAAAAGACCATCAGTTATATTTCTACAAATTGTATAACTACATTTCTTTATAATTCATTCGGCTTACTAATTCTATGCCCTGTTCTTATTTCACCAAAATAATTGGGTCATGTTTAGGTTTAGAACATTTTAAGTTTTGTTTCATTCAGGAAAACAGAAGCCACAGTAGGCATTTCAGAAAGTAGAATTAATGCAGGACATTGCATAGACATAGGGAAAGTTGAAAAAACCAAAAGGGAACACTACAGACCTGTGCTCAGGCCACTGGGAGGATTGGAACTAGCTGCTGCTGGTGTTTGGTGGTGCATGGTATGTGTGACAATTGGAGCTGGACACTGAAACTGCTCTAAGCAATTACTAGACTGGTCCTAAAAATAAAATTCAAGAGATGCCCTAGACTTGGCCAGCTGTATGTCCAAGCTACTTCATTGTATTGCTTCTCTGTGGGAGACCAATTCTAAGATGTTTTACAACTTTGTAGTATTAAGTATAGCTTTACAATTTTCAGTTAGTTTTTATTTCAGCAAGAGATTTGACTAATGGCATATTGGATTGGTAGAATTTATTTGCAAAGACTGATAGTATTCAGAATAAAAGTTTAGTTCATATGTATAGCTTTAAATTTGTTATGATTTTTGGTTGAAACTTTATCATGGAAGCTACTTGAAGTAATATGTCCTGTTAAGTATCAGTGATTTAGTACGAAGATTCCAGTGCTTTTAGAGAGAAACCTATTTTCCATCTACATTTTATATTATGCAAATCTAAACTTGTTTTGGAATATTAAGTGGTTCTTTTTAAAATATAACCAAAAGACAAAACAATATAAAAAAATCCCTACCATGTGTATGTCTGTCTTGTGAGAAATAATGCTTGCCTTTTTCATGGTGGTGGTAATGCTATGTTTGTTGGATTAGTTTACAGTGATAACTCTCCTTTTATTGAGAAGATTCAAGCATTCGAAAACTTTTTCGCACGGAACATTGATTTATATGATAAGGTAAGAGTCTTGCACATACAACTCCTTGGTCCACCTTTATGTTTTCTTACTGACCTTTGTGTTTTCTTACTGACCAGTGTGGTCGAGGTGCTAGGAGTTACAGTCATAGATATTTGATTCAGATCCTAGATCTGCCACTGACCTGCCGTATGGTGTTTGGTGAATATGTTTCTCTGTCTCAATTTCTTCCTCCACTAGCTAGAGAGAACAACAGTATTAATGCGTATTACATAAGATTCTTAAGAAGCACAAGTTAATAATAAAATATTAGAACTGTGCTTGACACAAAGCTAATACCTTTGTTCCTTGTAATCACTTTATAACAACATGTAATAAAGATGTAATTGAACAGGTGATTATCTTTTCAAAAGTTACTTTTCCAAACCATATTATTTTGTAGGATGAAATAGAAAGAAAGGGAAGTATATTGGTGGACTTTAAAGAACTGACTAAAGATGATGAAATCACTGACCTGATACCAAATATAGCGAATGAGCTAAGGGATACACCTGAGAAAACCTTGGCTTGCCTGGGCCTGGCGATACACCAGGTAAATATATATTTAATATAAACTTTTGTCACATTTGTTTTATGACATTCATTACAATCCCGTCATTATAAGAGCTTTCTTCTTGTCTTGTCCCTGTGACACTGGTTTCCATTCCGCCTGTCCCTTACTGCCCTCTGAGCTCTTTCCTTGGGGAAATGCTGCTCTTCCGATCTTGTATAGTTGATTGTTCTGAAGAGTAATCACCTCCCTAGTGTTATTGTTCACATTCTAGTCTGTTGTTTTTGTGACTGAAGGTTGAACCACAGGGGTGAGTTTAATTCCAAGCTCAAAAGACTTGGCTTTTGGAAAGGGTGGCTCCTTGGAGGCAAGGATTTTGAGGCTCCATCTAACATACTTTGGACATGTTGTGAGGAGAGACCGGTCCTTGGAGAGGGACATCATGCTTGGGAGGGTGGAGGGACAGCGCAGGAGGGGAAGGCCCTCTATGAGGTGGATTGATTCAGTGACTGGGGTAATCAGGATGGGAGTGTCAGAGACAGTGTGATTGACACAGGACAGAGCAGAGTCACAAACAACTCGACAGCACATAACAGCAACAACAACAAAAGACGTGCAGGGGCCATAACTGTCAGACCATTCAGCCTGGCCACTTGTATGATTTTGCATTTCCTTCCACCTTTTTCTCCACTTCTGTCTGGAGCCCTCTCCGGTGTCCTTTTGGAGCAGCAGAAGCGCTAGCAAGCGGATGCCATCAGTTTCCGGTCTCAGGATCCTGGAGGCTGAGGCTCACCTGGTTCATTAGTCCTTCATGCTGATTGTTTTCCATGTGATTTTATTGGCTCTTTCTTGCTCCAGTTTTGTCAGAACTCTCAAAGATTTTATAGTGACAATAGGTTGTGGTTAAGATAGCTATTACCAACAGATGTTGACTAGAACTGACATGGCAGTTCCTGAAAGATTCAATTTAAGGGAGCTCTGGTGGCCTAGTGGTAAGAAGGTGCACTGCAATCCCAGAGGTGCATGGTTTGAATCCACAAGATGCTCTGCTGGAGAAGGAGGGGCATTCTTCTGTACCAGTCAGATCCGATTTGACGGTACATGCACAAAAAAATAATAAAGTAAAATAAAATTTAAAAACAATTCCCTTTATATCTTAAAAGATAGCATTTGTTCAGTATAAGCCAACTTACCTAGTACAGGTGACTCCTGGGTTATGAATAAGATCTGTTCTTAAATATAGCTTGGAACAGGTCATAGAGTTCTTTATTTAGTCCTATGTTAGTGGATGAAAAGGCTTAAAGCCTTGATGCTGATTTAAAAGGTACGTGTGCATCAAGTGAAGGTGATTGTATTGAAGAATTTGTTATGTGTAGAAGTTCAAATCATCTCAAAGTGAGAGTAAATTTATATAACATTAAAAGGCAAGTACATAAAAATATAAAAAGTAAGGACAATTTGGAGTTGTCTGTAAATTGGCCATTTGAAACCTGGGCCACACTATTATGTTTACTTCTAACTTAAATTAATTTAATCTAATTAAAGATTATGCAGGTGTTTCATTTTGTCTGTAGTAAGCTGTATACGCCTAGGGAAGGCTACCTGGTGCCCCAGTAGTAAACATGGAACAAAAATACTAACTTCAAATCTAGGTCCGTAAGATCCTTCAGTATTGCCACGCAAGGCTAGAGTTTGTTCTTCAGTTCTTTCTGTTGAGAAATGCCACAGATGTTCCTTCCTTTTGGTTTTCTGACTCTGGCTCTGAACATTTTGTTATAATACTTTGCTTTGTCTTCTCCAGCTGCCCTTGGAAATCTTCTATTCAGCTCTTCTACGTCAGCATTTCTTACCTTTATTTGGGTTGCTTTACATTATGTGCAAGTTTCAAAGTCTTCTGACGTGAATTGTCTTTACTTACTGTTTTTTAATGACCTCTTGCTTTTTTCATGGATGTTATCCTTAATGCCATTCGACAGCTCATGTGGTCTTAGGTGGTTAGTGAAGAAAATTCCATGAGAGCCAAAATACAACCTTGGGTTTATCCCACCTGAATTTATAAACTGTCTCAAGAACAGATTGAATGTATTGAACATTAATGACCAAGGACCAGAGGAGTTGTGAGTTAAAGATAAGATTAAATATAGTTAGATTATAGTTAGATGTCAGCTATTTAAAGAGCTTGAGGTAAGAGTTCTGTTCATATTCTCTCTAAAAGTTCTTCTTAAATATGTTTTGTTTTCCAACTTCTGAATAAATATCTGTCCTGTTTAGATATTAACTAAGGACCTTGAACGGCATGCAGCTGAATTACAGGCCCAAGAAGGATTGCCCAGTGCTGGAGAAACCATGGTAAACGTGCCACACATTCACGCGAGGTGAGATCTTAGCCTGTTAAAATGTCATTTAGACTAGGGCGCTGAAGACTGGTTAGGAGTGAAAATCTCATTTTATAGACAGGAAATCCATCCAAAGAGTACAGAGGTCCTCAGTCAGAATGGATCAGTATAATAAAATGAAATATGAAAGAAATAAGGCCTTTTTTTGGTCAAAATAAGCCGACTTCCAAACTCATGTAAAAATTAGGTTACATTTATGTTGTTCGTTCAGACTGCTGTGTGGATTTAATAATCCATGTAATATGTTAACAGACATGATTGTATTTTGTTAGAGTTTCTAAGTTACTGCTAGACTCAGGGAACATATGAGAGAAATCATTTTGTTTTTCTGGAGTTCATGCTCTCTTTCAGATTTTGAATTTTCCTTAGGAGAGATGAATTAGGCTAATACCAGGGTTTCCTTTTCCTTTCACAATTTTATAGAAAACCTCACGGCTTGTGAGGGACCAATTAAATGGAAAACTTGAGCAAGGAATGATTTTATTCTTGTGAGATTTCTGAACTATATTCTACCCCATCTTTCTCTTCATAGGTAATGGAATTCCTGTTTTTGTTTTTAGAGTGTACAACTATGAGCCCTTGACACAGCTCAAGAATGTCCGAGCAAATTACTATGGGAAATATGTTGCTCTCAGAGGGACAGTAGTCAGAGTCAGTAACATCAAGCCCCTTTGCACCAAGATGGCTTTTCTGTGTGCTGCCTGTGGAGAAATTCAGAGCCTGTCTCTTACAGATGGAAAATTTAGTCTTCCCTCAAAGGTAGTATCATATTCTTTAATTTATTTAACTTAGTAGGAAGGCAAATCGGTTTATAGAAGATACTCCCTGATGTTTCTGAACACAGCTTATTTTTTCTTTATTTGCTTTTGTACAGTTTTAAAACACTTCAGAATACAGAAAGCTTAAATATTCTTGCACTGCCCCAGATTCTCATTTTTCCAGCTGTGTTCTATGTGTTCTTTTAAAGATACAAAGTGTCATGGTTAGAATTCAAGTCTCTCTTACTTCTTACAGAGCTTTAGTGAGATAGTCCATAGCGGGCTGTGCTGTTAACTCGAAGGCCACACCTCTCTGGTTGTTTGAATCCCCTGGTGGCTTCTTGGAAGAAAGAGAGTGATTTACAATCTCAATCCTCAATGCAGGATCAGCTCTTGAGTCAGATCAGCAATGATTTGAGGTTGTTTTAGCTTCTTGCCTGTCTGTACCATTCTCAGAAGCGACCTAACATTAATGTTGAACTAATGATGTAAGTTTAACAGCAAGATAACTAAAGGATAAGCCCCAATCTGAGTTGGCATATGTTAATATTTTAACTCCACCTAACACAGCAGACATGCCATTGCCTTTTATGAGCTTGCCTTGGAATTCCTGCAGCAACACTTTGTCACAGGCCGCCTCAGATTCTAGGAGAGGGACTATTTAGACTTGATCTTTTGAGAGGGAAGTGGCAAGACTCTGGGAAAACTGTGGGTAGATAGTACTACGGTCATTTTTGGAAATTATAATTACCATCATTTCTCTCAGTGAACCTTGACACTTTGGGAATCTTGAATTCATCTCGAGATCGAAACAGTGACTTACTAATGAAAACTGGGACACATCTTGTTTATGTTAGTGTCTGACAATGTGATACATTACCATTGTACAAACCATGCAGCAAACAGTGCAAAAGAAATTTAGATAAGAGATGTGAATTGAGTAGACTCAGCAAAGGCTTGTGAAAAGAGGAGGTTTGAGACTGGGTATGTGGTCTTGATGATTGGAAGCAGGAGTGGCATCCACTTCCGTAAATAGCTTGCCTCTGGAAACCCTACGAACTGGGAGAAAGGATGAAAGTCACACAAGTGTTGAGGACTTTCATTCATAGGGTCACTGTGAGTCACCTACAACTCAATGGCACTCAACAACAATAATGTCTTGATGACAGTGGACATTCAAAGATACGAGGATTATGTGGCACAAAAAAGAGAGTGCTTAATGTGAGAGACACGTGAGGAGTTTTGCATCCTCACAGCTAGGTTAGTGCCTCAAAAGCTCATCATAAAGAATTCTGGAAGGAAGTAGGACGTCCACAGTCAGGGACCTTTCCAAATTACTGAGCAACAATGTTGTTAGTTTGAGGACTACAGTGTGCCTGATTCAGACTGTGGTCTTTTCAGTCACTTGCTTTGCTGCTGAAAGCTGGACATTGAGTGAGGACGACAGAAGAAAAATTGAAGCTTTTGAACTATGATATTAGAGAAGAATACTGAATATCTCGTAGATTGCCAAAAGAACAAACAGATTTGCCCTGGAGAAAGTGCAGCCAGAGCGCCCCCTGAAGATAAGGATGACAAAGTTTCATCTCTCATACTTGGGGCATATTGGTAGGAGAGGCTATCCTTGGAGGACACCATGCTTGGAAAGGTGAGGGGATGGCAAAGGATAGGAAGACCCTCAGCTGAGTGGATTAACTAGTCATGTACAGTGACTACAGCCATGGGCTCTAGGGTGTCAGAGATTGTGAGGTTGACACAGGATAGTACCATGTTCACATATCTTCTACTAGGGTCACTATGAGTCCTACTCAACTCAGCCTCAACTAACAACAGCCTACTAAATGTAAACTTACAAGAATAAAAAGAGGAAGACCTACAAGAAAATGGGTTGAAACAGTGGACACAGCAATGAGTTCAAACTCAGCAACACTTGTGAGGATGATACGGGACTGAGCAGTGTTTCCTTGTACATTAAGTGGCTGTGACTTGGAACTGACTCATTGGCACCTAACAACAGTGATATTTTACCATCATGAGGCCAATTTTTAAAAATCCAGTATTAAATGAAGCATTATACCTTGAATTCCCTGAGATATAATTGATTGTAGTTAACAGAATGTGAATGTGAGTCAATCTTGTTGCAGTGTCCTGTGCCTGCTTGTCGAGGGAAGTCATTTACTGCCCTCCGGAGCTCTCCGCTCACAGTCACGATGGATTGGCAGTCGATCAAGTAAGCAGTCAATCATACTTTTTGAGTGAAAGGCAGGCTGTATATAGATAGATGTCTCTAACGCTGCTGGGTTAATCTGTAATCTTATTTAGTTGTACTGTGATTTTTATCTTTGAACAGAGATAACGTGTGTAATAGGTTTATTTGCTGAAAAGTTTTGCAGAAATGATAAGAGCTTTTAATTGCAGTTTATTCTGTGTCAGATTCCAGGAAAGAATTTTTTTTTTTTGGTAGTATTTTGTTTGGTTTTTTTCTGTAGCTATATTATGTCCTCTTGCTACTGAGAAGCAGTTCATTTTATATTTCAGGTATGTGATTGATTGAACTGGAAAGAGACCATAATCAAAACCATGAATTCTGTAATGAGCTATGATTGAAATGATCTGAAGTTCTGAAATAAAGAAGCTTTTAGAAATGGCCATGTTTCATTTTTGACTGTGATATGTTTCAAGAAAACCTTAGACTTATGCAACAATGAATGAATCAAAATCTAACTTTTCTGTAAACGTTTGTTAAAATCACAATAAAAGAAAAAAAATTGGACTTAATTCTTGCTTTCAGTTCTTCCATTTCTAAGGCCTTTCTTCCCTGTGTGATGTTATCGTTTATTTTCTAACCATCATTGCACAGCTCATCTAATGAAAGCAATAAACAGCTTTCACATTTATATGATCATGTAAGTGCCCTACAAACAGGGAAATGTAATACTTTTGTCACTGAATTTTTTTGTTTTGCTTGCTTGATCCCCCCCCCACCCCTTTGTCTTTTAAAGGAAAGGGATTTAAAGCACATCAAGGGAACCTTTTTTATACTCTACTAGTTGTTGAGAATTTTCCCATGTTTCATGTGATTCACGTTTAGATTGTAGATTTGTTAAGACATTTTGTTTTTCAACTAAGGTTTTTAAAAGGCCAATTTTACTTCTTACAGTATGTGTCCACCACATCACAATTTTCCATTTCCTGAATACACTATGTTGTTGTTGCGTGCTGTCAAATTGGAACTGAATCATAACTGACCATCCATCTGGAATTCAGAGACAGTTAATTTTATGGGACGAGATTGCTACTCTTTCTCCCACAGAGCAGGTGGTAGATTTAAACCTCCTACTTTTGGGTTGCCAGTGCAAAAGTACTATAGGATACACAAAATCCACCTTATACAATAAAAGTAGAAAAACCTTCCTGGGCTGGCTTAAATTGTTCACCCGAAGGCCTGCTGTCATGTAGGTATTTCATTACACTGTTGAGTTAGACCTACTGTTTTCTTGGCCCCTGTATGTGTATTGGTAGATTTCCTCCCCTATATTTTTCTCACTAAAGAATTCTCCAAAGTAAAATTTCAGACAGTACATGAGATATAAAACCACCAGGAGTTCTTGCCTGTCTGAAAATACTTTTTTTCATATTAATTTTTATTAATCTTTTTTTCCTATTTTTTTAAATTTATTATTTATTTCAGTAAAAATTTACGGAGACTTTGGATTTCCATTCATTCATTGTTGCACTTTTTCCCCCCTCCCAACCCTCCCCCGTAGTACACTACCCTCTTGGAAAAGTAAAAGAAAAGTTCTTTCATTGTTTTACAAACCCTCCCCAAGGTCCACTCCACCATGTAGCCTTCACTCTAGACTCCTGCCATGACAAAAATACCTAATCACATATCCCTTTTAAACAGTTTTCTCCCTCATCTGTTTCAATGCAATATACATTATCAAACCCATCTTTCTCAGTCTCTCCCCAACCCCTGGGTCAGTCCTATTTTACAACAGTGGCACCATGCAGTATTTGTCTTTTTGTGATTGAGATACTTCACTCAGCATAATGTCCTCCAGGCTCACCCATTTTGAATATATTGCATGAGTTCCTTGTTTTTCAATGCAGCATAGTATTCCATTGTGTGAATATACCACAGCTTCTCTTTCCATTCATTTGTTGATGAGCACTTAGGTTGTTTCCAACTCCTTGCTATTGTGAACAGAGCCACAATAAACATGGGTGTGCATATATCTGCTTGGATGTCACTTATGGTCTCTTTGGGGTATATTCCCAGTAGTGGAATTGCTGGGTCTAATGGTATCTCTATTTGCAACTTTTTGAGAAAGCACCATGTCGCCTTCCACAGTGGTTGCACCATTTTACACTCCCACCAACAGCCTTCTCCCTGTCATATCTGTTCGTTTTTTTGGCAGTCCTGAGATACTCAGTACTCTTCTCCACCACAGCTCAAAGGCAGCAATTCTTCTGTTGTGCCAAATGGTTAGTATGTTGAAAAAATAATCCAAAATCAGAAAGTACACTAACTGAACATTGTTGAACTTCTCAGAATCCAGGAACTAATGTCTGATGATCACCGAGAAGCAGGTCGAATTCCTCGAACAATAGAGTGTGAACTTGTTCATGATCTTGTAGACAGCTGTGTCCCCGGAGACATTGTGACCGTTACTGGAATTGTGAAAGTCTCCAATGCTGAAGAAGGTATACTATAACTCTTCCTTATTTTTATTTTCCTCCTGTAATAATTTGGTTTGCTGTGGGTGTTGTGTGGTGGGTTGTTGTTGGTTTTTTTTGTTTGTTTGTTTTGTTTTTTAATATTGATTGATTTGGTTTTAATGTGCTTTGGAATCTTCCTCAAAATCCCTTTTTTCTTACATAGGTTGAACTTTTCCTTTATGATTTATTAATTTCTGTTGACTCTTTGCAGGTAAAAGAAAATATCTTTTATTGTATTTAAATTTACAGGCTCTAGAAATAAGAATGACAAGTGTATGTTCCTTCTGTACATTGAAGCTAATTCTGTCAGTAACAGCAAAGGACACAAAACAAAGACCTCAGACACTGGATCTAAGCATGGAGCAATGATGGAGTTCTCACTTAAAGACCTTTATGCCGTCCAAGAGATCCAAGCTGAAGAAAATCTGTTTAAGCTCATTGTCAAGTATGTATGAGATTAACAAAAGTTTTATTAAATAAATGCACATCGGTATGTTCTTGGCTATAAGTAAAAAGCTGAAGTAAAAAGGACTAGCATAGAGTCTGGGGGTCAAATATACATGTTTTTGTGCTGTTTGTGAGCAAGGAATGGCTTTCGCATTTCTAGATGATGAATGGAGGAATTAAGACTTTCATGACATGTATCATTACGTGAAAAAATAAATTTCCGCTTCCATTAATAAAATGTAACTGGTGAGCTATCATAACTCTTTCGTGTATTGTCTATGACCGCTTTTGTGCTCCTGTAGCAGAGTGAAGTAGTTATTGACAGAGAGCATTTTTTGATCTCTAGCTCTTGATGGAAAGGGTTGCTGTCTGGTTAAAATGATACAGAACATTTCCTATCATAAGTTGTGAGACAATGACAACACTCAAAAGAGGGCAGGAATGATGAAGTTTAAACATTTCAGCTAATCAAGAAGGGTTTTGTTTAATTCTGAAAAGTCAAGAAATTAAAATAGAAGTCTTTTACAGTCAATAAGTATTCTTAGTATTCTGTTTCCATGTTATTGCCATATAGTAGAGAAAGAAGAAACAAAGTATTTGCTTTAGTGGTTAAGGGCCTTTCTTTAAAGAAAAATCTAAAATTACAATCCTGCTTCTGCCACATTCTTCTAGTGTGATATTGATACTGTTACTTAACTTCTTCTCCCTGTTGTATCATCTTAAATAATTTCTGCCTCTTGAGAATTGTTTTGGGAATTAAATGAGATTTTATAATGTATCCAAAAGGGGGGGGAGGGAAATCCCTGTTGCCCTCAAGTGGATTATAACTAAGAGAACAGACTAGAACTATGTCATAGCGTGTCCATGACGGTAAATCTTTGTGGAGTCAGGTTGCTCCATCCTTCTGAGTTCGGCTGGGGAGCTGGAAGCACCACCTTTTTGGATCGTAGCTTAGCACTTGTGGCCAGAGTTTCCTTTATTTAACCTAATTGTTGTGGTGTGATGTTTGTGGGTTTTGTTGTTAGGTATGGTCTCATAGCAACCCTATCAAAAATGAATCCAGACCTGGCCCCGTCCTGTGCTGTCCTCATCATCTCTGATATGCTTGTGCCCGTTGTTACAGTCACTGTGTCAGTTCATTTTGTTGAGGGTCTTCCTCTCCTTCACTGACCCTCCATCTTCCAAACATGATGTTTTTTTCCCAAGGACTGGCCTCTCCTGACAAAATGACCAAGTATACGCGACAAAGTTTCCCATTCTTGTATCTAAGGAACACCCTAGTTGCATTTTTTCTGACATATTTATTCGTTGGGCAGTCTGTGGGACAGTTAGTACTCTTCTCCAACACCACAACTCAAAGGCATCAGTTCTTCTGTTATACTTACTCATTGTCTAGCTTTCATTTGCATAGCAAGCGATTGAAAAGACCGTGATTTGGTTCAGATGCAGTATCAAATTGACATTTTTTCTCTTTAGGACTTTGGAAAGGTCCCTCACAGCAGATATTCCCAATGCAACATGCCTTTTGATTTCCTGAGTGCTGGTACCAGGGGTACTGATTGTGGATTCAAGCTAGATGAAATTGTTGACAATTTCTTTTGCTTCTCCATCTGTCCTGATGTTGGTCCACTGGTGAAGATTTTTGTTCCCTTGATGTTGAGATCTTCCACAACAAGCATTTCAGATCGTCTCAGTTTTAGTAAGCCCGGTTGTGCCATCTGCATAACGCAGGTGGTTAATGAGTGTTCCTCCAATCCTGATGCCACTTTTCTTCATGAAGTCTGGTTTCTCGAATGATACTGATTAAATAAGTATCCTTTCTCCATACTTGTTCTGAGGGGCTGTCAGTTCCATTCTGACTCATAGTGACTGTAAGTTGAGCAGAGCAGAACACTGCCTGTATTTTCACCATCCTCACAGCTACTGTATTTGAACCCATAGTTGCAGTCACTGTCTCACTGCATCTCTTTGAGGGTCTTTCTTTTTATAACTCACCTTTACCTTACCAACAGTGATATCCTCTAGGGACTGGTCCTTCCTGGTAACATGCTGATAGTGTGGAGACAAAGGCATGCCATCCTTGCTCCCAGGAGCATTCTAGCTGTACTGCTTGGGAAATGGATTGTTCTTTTGGTGGTCTGTGATATGTTCAGTATCCTTTGCCAACACTAAAATCCAGATATTCTCATTCTACTTGAGTCTTCCTTATTGATTGTCTAGCTTTTATTTACATGTGAGGTAACTGAAAATACCACTTGTCTGCCAGTTGTACTGTGGTAGCTTAAGTACTTGTAGTTGACTATAAGTGGTGCTGTTATTGGAGAAAGTTTTCATTTTCTTTAATAAATTCAAGCAATTGGTGAAAATAGAGGTGTTAGGTGACAAATGTATATAATTTGAAAGATGAAAAACCAATCTGGAAGTGCACTGTATTAGAAAATCTTTTTAACTTTTCTGTTAGGCTTGGGATTTGAATTCTAGGAAAATTTCGTGGTGTAAAATTAGGAAAGCTGTACATCAGGGTTGTTTCACCATACTTTGCATGCTGAATAGACAATCTGAGAAGCTGGACTATGTAAGGAGTATTTTGACATCAGGTTTGGAGGAAGACTCATTAACAATCTGCATTATGCAGATGACATAACTTTGCAGAAAGTTAAGAACACTTCAATACCTTGCTGGTAAACATACCTTAACATGAAGAAACAGAAATTTCCCACAATTGGGCCAATAAGCAACATTTTGATAAAATGAGAAAAGTTGTCATTGGTCAAAAATTTAATTCTATTTAGATCCAAAATTAATACCCATAGCAGCAGTATTTTAAATCAGGTGACATATTACATTGAGCAAATCTACTGCAAAAGACTTCTGTAAAGTGTTAAAAAGCAGAGATGTTGCTTTGTGGGTTAAGGACTATTTCTGACCCAAGCTGTAGTATTTTCATTATTTACCTCATAGGCATGTGAAAACTGGACACAAGAAGAGGGAAGAAGAATTGAATTAATAGTGTTGACAAAAAGTCCTGAGTAGAGCAGACTGTCCAGAGAATATAAACAAAAAGGTCTTGGAAGAAGTGAAACTAAAATGCTCCCCAGAGCCGAGACTCTTGTTTCTTTGTCTTAAGCATGTGAGGCAGAAGGGGCCATCCTTGAAGAAGGATATTATGGTAGAAAGTCAGCAAAAAATATGAATACCTTTAAAAAGATAGAGTGACACAGTGGCTATCATAGATTGTAAGGAAGTTTTAGGAGTGGGCAGTGTTTCTTTCTGTAACATATGTTAGAACAGACTGGAAGATAGCTACATGTTTATTTGACTCTTGGAAACACCGGTAGGAAAATACAAGTGAGACAGAGAAAAGAAAGCAGTCAGCATATGGCACCTTAAGAAGGAAAAGAAGTTACCCCTAATACTGGGATTTCTGTTCTTCAAAACCTTTGGCAAACTGAAGAGACTTTTTCCCCATCTAAGGTCTTGATTTAAGTGTACCCTCAGAAATACTAAACACTCCAGACTTCCGGCCTGCCTAGCCTGCCGCTGGTGCATCTGTTGCCGTCTAAAGCCCTTAGGCAAACAGGCAGGTGCTTGATAGGAAGTCAGCAGGGACTATGCCGGAACATGCTGAATGATGAGTTTTAGGCAGGACACCAGTAGCTTTCGTTGGAGTTTTTGGATATTAAAAAGGAGTCATAATTCCCTTACCATTTCTGATTATAGCTCTTCTACCCTGTGCTTTTTTGTTTATTCTTTGTTGGTATAATTGATAAATTATATAAAAATATATAAATTCTTTTATGTTCACTTAAGGGTCTCATTTATCCTGCCTCTTCGACTTAAACTGTTAGAGAAAAAGACTATATTTTATTTAAAATCCTCAAGTGTTTAATTCATGATTTATTCTAGTGGATTGACTGTTCAGTTTTCGGTTGGTGGGTTTTTTTTGTTTGATAGGAAAATATATTTAAATAGTAAAACCTCTACATGTAAAGGACTCATTAGAGAAGAGTCTCTATGATCATTTAAGCCAGTATTTTGTTTTGGGGGTTTTTTTAAATACAATTCATGTCAGGTCTAAGAATGAGTTGCTTATACTGGTCTGCTACAATTGGAAACATGGATAGCCAACGAAAACAATTAAAGATCAACGACTGAATGATACAGAGGCAATTATTTGATATAACACTACAAAAAGTTTATGATTGGATATTGTGTGAAACACTTCATCTAGGAGTGGCTTCTAAAGCAGCTTTTTGGGTTTCCATAAAAATACAATCTTCTGTATCAAAGGAAGGTATTTCAATAATAGGACTGGAGTCTTCTATTTTCAAGTTCAGTGATTTCTCCTGTTCATATCTGAGATCTATATTATCATTCATTTGACTACCCTGCTCGTTCAAATCCAAAGGTTTATCTGGGGCCAGAACTTTTAACTTCTTCATCTTGTAGGAAGCTGCAAATTACACTGGGTGAATTAGAGTAATCATTATCATTGATTTGCAGCCATTCAACACTGCCTATGTTTTCTTCTCCTTTTCTGTCAGAAGAATTCTTGTCATGCTGAGTTTCTTCATTGTATGGCATTTGTACTTTTGCACTGTTTTACTATTGCCTTCTGCGTCACATTCTTCCACATCTTCTTCAAATATAACACAGGTTCCAAGAGCATCTTCATTCTTCCTAGCAAATATAGTTGTCCACTTGCGTAACAGGCTTCTCAGTGTCAATTTCCAAAACCTTGCATTTATTTTCTCATTTTGAGAGAAAGTCTGAATCAGTACTCGCTGACAGTTCCACCAGAACCAACTGCTCTTCCTCATCCCATTCTTCACATGTGGATTCCTCGGCCTCTGCCATGATTTCACCTCCACTGTCTTTCCCGGCCCCTTAGCCTCGCCCTCACAGGGCTGCCATCTTGACTATGGGCAGCAGCTTCCTGAGATCGTGCCCTTCCTCTTCTTGTCTACAGACGTCTCTGGCCAGAATGTGACCATTCCGTTTTAAAGATAACTATTCAGTAAAACACAGGCAAATAATCCTAAAATGAAAGACCATTAATACAACAATTTTCAAAATCAATTCTGGAAAATGGTCAGAATTATAATTTAATAAAATGCTTCAGAGGTATTCACAAGCTTGATTTTCAGATCATGCTTTGTTACTAGATTAAGAATTTTGAGAAATTTGCTGTCATAATAAAGTTTTATGAGTTTCTAAGGGGAGACAAATTGTTTTTGCGGCTAGACAACGCAGATTAATCAGGTGAGTGGCGTTTAAGTTGGAATTTATTTGACTTTGTGTTGTTAATAATTTATATTTTGTTTTCAGCTCACTCTGTCCTGTCATTTTTGGTCATGAGGTAAGTTATTTCATCTTTACTCAAAAATACATATAGTTGACAAAAATAACATGTAAAACCTTAAAATAGTATCTAATTTTTGTTGGCCAAGGTTTTTATTGTACAAGGACTCTTTTTCTCTTTGAATGAATGGCATGTTACAGTCCCTTATAATAAAAATAATAGCAAATCAGCCCTGGACCTTCAGGTTTTCAGTGGCTGGTTTTTCAGAAGTAGACCACGTATTACCTGTGAGTAGACTGGAACCTCCAGCCTTGTGGCTAGTGACTAGTGCATTAACTCTTTAGGTTATCCAAGGACTTCTCTTTCAGATAGCAGTGAGACTTTAGTATGACTCTAGACATTAAAAGTGTTAAAGCAGAAACTAACGTATTTCTGATTTTTGTGGAGTAGATTGATGCCTTGCACAGTAAGTTTCAACTCAGTGTCTTTTTTTTTTGTTTGTTGTTTTTTTTTTCTATATTTTATTAATTTTCATAAACATTTACAGAGATTTTGGGTTTCCATTCATTCCTTGTTGCACTATTCTCTCTACCCTCCTCCCAGTTTGTTCTTGTCCAGATGCCACAGTGCTTGTCAAAGCCAGTTCTGATTAATCTTCTTTGTCAGTGTGTCCTTTGCCATTCCCTATCACTCCTCCCTGAGAGAGACTTCACCCTGAGTCATAAGGAAAAGGGGATGGCGTATTCTCTTAGCTACTTCCTGCTGAAAAGGGACGCTGTGGGTTTCAGGGTGAAGATCTTCTCTCACTACTCTAAAGGGCCCCTTTCAACTCAGTGTCTTGTATGTGTGATGCTTGTCTCATTTTAATTTGTTTTCTAATATTTATTAATTATTTACATTGGAGAAGTGTCTATTATTGTTGTTGAGAATAATTGAGTCGGAACCAACCCATAGCTGACCCTCCATTGGCTTTTTAGAGACAGTTAATCACAAGGGAGGAGATTGCCCATCCTTCTCCCACAGAGCAGCTAGTGGATTTGAACCATGTGCCTTCAGGATTGCAGTGCAGTTTCTTACCACTAGGCCACCAGAGCTCCCTGATTAGTCATTAGCAATTTTTAAATAATAAGAGAGAGTACCAAAGATAGTGAAGGGATAAAAATGAAGAAAACAAACAAAAGCAAATCTAATCAACTGGGCTCAATAATCTTTCAAGCTGGTTGCTCTTTGGGAAATACTGTTATGTGAAGGGCACCTTGTCTTTTTAAAAATATTTGGAGACAGCTTCTGTAGCTTCCATAGGTAAAGGACTGTTGACTTCTACTGGCTGAAAAATAATGTCTGCAGCCAACGCTATAAAGATGTATTTACTGCAGTGTTTGAAAATGGTTTCATGTTTGAGGATTTGTTTGATATTCTGAAATGCAGTGTTTAATACCTCCACTCCTCATTTACTAGAGTTCAAAAAATAAGTTCAGTCATGTTTTAGAAAACTAAAAACCTAAATAAATTTTGTGGAAAACACTTATTTTGTGTCATCTTTTTATTCTTTTTACTTTTGTTTCTTTTGTGTTTTTTGCACATTTAAGCTTGTTAAAGCAGGTTTGGCATTAGCACTATTTGGAGGAACCCAGAAATATGCAGATGACAAAAACAGAATTCCAATCCGAGGAGACGCACACGTCCTTGTTGTTGGAGATCCAGGCTTGGGAAAGAGCCAGATGCTACAAGTAGGAAATCAGTCATTTAACATTTGACCTTTTGCTTATAATTCACAACAGAATTTTTTTTTTAATTTTTATTTTTTAAAGCATGTATTATTTGTGTTTCAGAGGTATGGGTGAATTGTGTCTGGATGTATGAGTATTATTATATAACTTGTATCTGACCATGTTTGCAAATAGAGCAGTCTGCTTGTCACTTTACAAGCCTAGGCTGATCTGTTGAAACATTGACCATTTCCCTAAATTGTAATTCCCCCTCCCCTTTTTTTGATATGTAGTATTGCTTTGTTAGTCTTTATCACTGCAATTTAATCTCCTCTGAATAGAATAAGGGAGTAATATCAGAATCATTCCATTCTCTTCCTCCCACAACACCACAAACACTGTATTGAGTTTTAGATGGGGTTTGGCAGAGATATGGCCTTACCTGTACCTGTGCTGCTTCTCCCTGGGTTCTAAACCAGGCCCTGCCTTGGTTGATCCTGAAAAAAATTCTGCCTCTGCCATTCAGGTGTTTGGTGGTTGATACTTTCTGGACTTGTGATGACCTCAGAAGATGTTGTTTGTTGGAGTATGTATAGTTTCTTCAGAGGAGCAACTCCTGTAAACCAGCCTTAATGTTTGCATGAAGAATGCACGTTCTCTTTACAGTCCCTTATTGAAAATGTAACTATCCAAACTGTGACTTGCTGACCCTTTGTTCTTCTGGTGGCAGCCCAATTATGAACCTTGCACATTGGAATCCCCCCTCTCTGAAAATACTGTGTCCAGCCAAGACCAACTGAATAAAGACATGGGTGGCAGAGTTGTATCCTTTCTTGGACTTTTTCAGTCTGCATGCCAAGCAAATAATTCTAGAAGCAGGAATATATTAAGAATGTGGCATCAAGATTGGAGGAAAAATTAGTAACAACTTGTGTTATGCAGATGACACAGCTTGATTTGTAGAGAAGACTTGAAATATTTACTGAAGGCGATCAAAGACTACAGGTTTCGGTATGGATTACTTTTCAGCATCAGGAAAACAGAAGTCCTCACCAGTGTACCAGTAGATAGCATCATGATAGATGGAGAAAGGATTGAAGTTACTAAATTTCATTTTATGTGGATCCACAATCAAGACCCATGGTAGCAGCAGTCAAATAAGAAATGTATTACATTGGGCAGATCTGCTATCAAGGACCTCTTCAAAGTGCTAATGAACAAAGATGTTCATTTAAAAAGTGAGGCTCACCTAACTCACCCCGTGGTATTTCCATTTGCCCCCTGTGCATCTGAAAGTTGTACAGTGATAAGGAAAGCAGAGAACAATTAATGCCTTTGAAATGTGATATTGGGGAAGAGTGGTAAATATACCCTGGACAGTCAAAAGAATACCAAGCAAATCTGTCTTAGAAATGTAACCAAGGTACTCCGTAGAAACAGGGATAGTGATATTCCATTTCACATACTTTTTTTTTTTTTTTTTTCATATACTTTAGAGGCACTGGTCCTTGGGAAAAAATGTAATGCTGGAAAGAGAACAAGGTCGGTGAGAGAGAGGAATACCCTCAAGATAGATTGACACAGTGACCGCAGCAATGGACTTGACCTTGATGGAGATCTTGAGTATGGTCCAGGATAGGGCAAGGTTCAGATCTGACGTTCTTAGGCTGCTATGAGTTGTAGTTGATTCTATGGCACCTAATAACAGCAATCATACATTTGTTACTGGTTTTGGTCAGTAAGGCTTGTCCTTTTCCCACCCCTCCCACCTCCTAAATTGAAATTGTATTCTAACCCCTTTCTCACAAGCTTGACACCACTAAGGCAGAGAGTACATAGTTACATGGTAAAGCAAGGTTGATACAAACAGAATATTGTGGATTAAGATCTGAACTACTACAGTTTTCTGTTCTGTTCTTGTAGCAGTGTGTGTGAGAGATTTTTAAAATGAGTATATTACATAGATCATAGATGGAAGCCTGATTCCCCCCCCCCCAGTGTTATCTGATTATCTCTATTACTGAGCAACTTTTATTACTTGATGCTCAAGAAAACCTTGAAATTTTAGAACTTAAAATAGATAGTCTGTTCTTATGTTTGAACTCTGCAGGAGCCTCAGATCCTGCATTGGTGAATGACAATGTGGTGATACTATCCTCATAGAGTTGGTGTTAAGATTATATATTAAGACGCAGAATAAATTATACGAGGCATGTAGCTGACATTTTTTTGTGTGTGCAGTTACTATTCACTGTTAATGCTCTTAAGGATGATTCTCTTAAACTCTTTCCTTTACACTTGATCTTAGCCAAAAGGCCGAGAAGCAATAAACTCTTTCTTTTCAAGGCAGTATGCAACGTCGCTCCACGTGGCGTGTATGTTTGTGGAAATACTACTACCACTTCTGGTCTGACTGTCACTCTTTCTAAAGATAGTTCTTCTGGAGATTTTACTTTGGAAGCTGGTGCCCTGGTACTTGGTGATCAAGGTGAGAAAAGGAGTATAATAATCTGTGATTATGAGATTTTTGTTATTGTTTAAAGCCTATTCTTTTGTAATTCATTTCTTTACTTTTTTTATTTAAAAAAAGGACGTCATTCAGCATCATGATTAGACTATTATATTTATCAGTCAAAAGCATGGGTTTAAAAAAAACATACAAAACTCCATTAAAGCTCTTGTTTTCTGGATGCTCTTACACTTTCCACAGAAGAGAAACTAAAATAATCTGGTACACAGTCACAGATACAGTCTGCACGTTTTTCGCCCAATATACATGAGTATTGTCTAAACATGTCTTCTTTGTAGCAGTGAGGCCTTGCCACCACTATAATCAGTAGCTTCCCTGTCATTTCTCTGGCTCTCCTCTCCTACTAAGCTTGGTTTCCTGGCAGTCATCAAAACCATCTGCCACTGCTGTAGCTACTGCTATTACTTTGAACCACCATTGTCACCTTGGCTTCATAGTTTAAAAAAATATTGACCTCCACTACCATAATAAGAACCAGAGCTTCTGCCTTCAGAGTTTTCTTCCCTTCATGAGACCAATACTTGATGATTGATTTTTGTAATTACAAAAATCATGGTGGCTTCTACCACCTCTGAAATTGCTTCCGTCATTGCCAAGGCCATTATAATCATTCCTACGGCCTACATATCCTCCACTACCACGACTGCCTCCAGAGTCACCTCGTCCACTGAAGTTTCCTCCTCCACCAAAGTTGTCATTCCCTCCAAAACCACCTCCATAGCAGCCACCAAAGTTTCCAGAACCACTTCACCCTCTTTGGCTGGAAGAAGCACTGGCCATCTCTTGCTTTGACAGGGCTTTCCTTCCTTCACAATTGTGACCATTCACAGTATGGTATTTCTAAATAATAATTTTATCTATAGAATAATGGTCATCAGAAGTTAAAAAAAAAGCCCTTCTTGTCACTGCCTCCATCAGTCATGATTTCAGTCACTTCAGTTTTGCTTACTACTCAAAATCATCTCTTAAGTGACTTTCTTCAGTATCTTTTTTTTTAGAAATGCCTCTTTTTTTCCCTTTTTTTTTTTAATTTAAATAGCATTCAGTTTATTACAAATACCTAGTATTGGCTTCCCATATGCCCCCCTTTTGTTTTTATCATAATTAGGTTATCTTCTAGATGAGCATTCTTCAGTATCTTTTTTAATTCCACCAACAAAGATCCTGTTCACTATTAAGTGGAAATATGATCTTTGAAAATCTTCTCTTGAAACAACCTGCTTGGGTTCCACAATTTGACCATCCACCCGTTGGGCCTTGCATTCCTGGCTGCATCCACCTCTTCCACAATTGAGGATGTGACAAACCCAAAGCTCCTGGAATGTTTGCTGTTTGGATCTCTCCTCACCACACAGTCTTTGAGGGCCCCCCATTGCTCAGATGGCTCCTAGATCTATCGTTTCAAAGTTCAATCCTCCAATGAATAGTTTCTGCAGCTGGGCTCTTTAGGAGACTCTGACTTCAATGTGATGGCTTTGAGAATAAATAGTGATGCTTCTTCAGCAACATTCTCCAGCAGAAGGCAAAAGCCGAAGTCTTAGGCCAAAATTACCTACATGCTGGCTCTTGGTCACATCTCTTTTGCTGCCTCACCTACTAGTTCTCTCTTCTGCAGTGAGGCAGACTTCTTGGAGACTTGGACTCTGCTGTTGGACTCATTAGGCATATTCCTGCCTCAGGACCTTTGTACTTCCTGTTCTCTTTACCTAGAATGTTCTTCCCCCAGATAGATTGTCACTGCTCGTCTCATTTAGTTCTTTAAGTCTTTGTTCAAATGGCATAACTTCATCGAGGTCCTCCTTAAACATCATGTTTTAAATTGTAACTCCCCTTCCCCAGCAGATCTTATTCTTACTTTTACTTTTTACTTCCTATAGCACTTAGCTATATAAAGGCCATGGTCTTTGCAATTACTTGCTATGTATGTATGCATCAGATAACTGCACAGTGACTAGGGAGGAAAGAAGGAGACTTGATGCCTTTGAATTGTGGTGTTGGCGAAGAGTATTGAATATACCATGGACTGCTAGGAAAAAAACCAAGTTCGTCCTGGAGAGGGTGAAGCTAGGCTGCTTCTTGCAGGCAAGGATTCTGAAGCTTTGTCTGACATACTTTGGACATGTTGTAAGGAGGGACAAGTCCTTGGTGAGGGATGTCATGCTTAGGAAGGTGGAGAAACAGCGCAGAAGAGGAAGACCCTCGATGAGATGGATTGATTCAGTGACTGGGGTAATGGGGTTAGGTGTATTAGAGACAAAAAGATTGGAAATGGTTAGAGCAATGTTTAGTTCTGTTTTCCTGAGGGCCACTATGAGTCATAGGTGACTCAAAGGTACATAACAACAACATATATATGTATAATAATTATTATGATAACCTATATGTATGTAGTATTTTTTACTTACACTAGGTAGAAGGTAAATTTCATAGGACAGAGAATTTTGGCCCTTTTGTTTGATGCTATATCCCATATATCTAGAACACAGCACTTAGTGCATAAAAATTACTTAGTAAATATATTTGCTGAATAAGTGCAACACTCTAAAGCCAATTCCCATAAGGTCAGACGTGTCCTCCATTCTTCTTTCCACACCTAATTCTTTTCATTCCAGTACCAGTCATAATCTCTACTCTTGGATCTGAAATCCATTGATCAGTAGCTATGCAGACCTCACAGAACCATAGTAATGTTAGGGGTTTATTGAAGAAGTTAGCAGTTTACAGCCCAGGTTAGCAAGGGGATAAAATTCCTCGGACAGGGCAGATTCCCAAGCATGCTTGCAGTTGTCGTTGACCTTCAGCCTCATGGCTTAGTTCAATGTTAACAAATCTTTCCTTGGCTTGTGAATTACGACATTTCCCCTAGTTATCTAGCAAGCTTGGGCAAAGGCCCCTGGCTGGTTCCATATGGCAGCAGTCCTAAGTCTGGCTCCGTAGGGTAGCAATCCCAAGTCAGCTCTGTCTTCTGTTAGCTACTGGTTCCCTGCTGTGGCTGCTGGTGCTCTCATGTGGATCCCAGCCTGGCATGGGAATCCCTGGCCCCAAAGTTCATGTGCTGCAGTCTGCTTTTCCTTCCTTGCTGGTAATGAGATTTCCACCTTTACTGCCAAGCCTGTTGCATTTAAAACTGGTGGGATGGAGGGAAAACTAACCAATCCCGTCATGAATCTGCCACCCACCTGGTTTAATAGATTCCCATCAGCCATGTGATCTAGGAAAAAATGTGATCTAGAAAAGCCATTTTGCTTGCGTCACAGCCTGACATGGAAAATACCTTGTCACTGTGACTCTTTGTATTAGGTAAGGTGATTGTACAACCTGCAGTTGTGCAGTCAGTACCTGGTATTGCTGAGAACTGCTCTTAAGTTTTCTTATTATTGAACCCATTCAAAACACTGCTGTCCTACTTTTACCAGAAAACTAGCTCATAAAGCACCGTTCTTTTTACAACTGTTCCAGACATGCCTTCCTTAAAGCTTCTAGTCCATCATAGTTAGATGTATCTCTAATGGTTTTTGATATTTTATATCATCTGTTAGAATTTAAAATTTTACATTTTTGGAGGTTTTCTTTAGTATCTTTTTTTTTAACTCTTACATAGTCAGAGGAGAAAGACCTGGCAGTCTACTTTTGTGAAGTCTTATTCAATCTTGGAAACCCTGTGGGACAGTTCACTGTTCTTTGTGTTTGCTGTGAATTGCAGTGGAAGGCTACAGACCCACAGCGTAGTAACTTGCCTATGGAAATGCTAAATGTATAAACAAATGCAGTCTACTTCCATAAAGATCTCCAACGTTAAAAACCCTGTAGATCAGTTCTCCTCTGCTCTTTGGGTCTCTGTGAGCCTGAATTGACTCTGTAGTCTCCAGTTTTGGTTTTGGGTACAATGACATCGTAGAATTTTAACTGCAATGGACAAATGAAAAAAAGTCTTTATTATAGACAGCTGTGGTCTGTGAAATTTGTTTGGAAATTGGCCAGAGGGAAGTTTCATGTTTGTATTACCTTACTGTGATTTTAGGTATTTGTGGAATAGATGAATTTGATAAGATGGGGAATCAACATCAAGCCTTACTAGAAGCCATGGAGCAGCAAAGTATTAGTCTTGCTAAGGCTGGAGTGGTTTGCAGCCTCCCTGCAAGAACGTCCATTATTGCTGCAGCAAATCCAGTTGGAGGACATTACAATAAAGCCAAAACAGTGGCTGAGAACTTGAAGTAAGTTTCTTCAAATATACCTTCAGTGTATTGTCTGTATAAATTATGAAGAAAAAGTTAAGTGAGGGCATCAGTCAGCAATTACAGAAGGTACAAAATCCACTGCTGTGAAATGTGTTCTGACTCACAAGTATCCATCACATACATTTAAGCACTTGTGTTACAGTATCAAAATATCATTGATAACTTACTAGACAGTCTAAATATTGTTAGTCATTGACAAAGGGATGGGTTCTCACATATACTCTTTAACATCTTTTTTTTGTAATAGGAGTGAAAGTGTACAATGCTAATTTGCTTTTGACTCAATCACTCATATATTGTTTTAGAACATTTATTATTTAGTGCTCCCGTTATAACTACACTTTTCCCACGTCCTCCCTAAGATTCTTGTCTCCAGTGATCCTTCTGTCTTATCCCTTCCTGCCTTCTGGGCTTTGAGTAAATCCTGTCCTTTTGATCTTGCATTGATGTTATGTTGGAACCAACTCATGGCTGACCCACCAGTGGGTTTTCAGAAGCTGAAATTGCACAGACGGAGATTGCTCATCTTTCTTCTGCAAAGTAGCTGATGGGTTTGAACCTCCTGCTTTAGGGTTGGCAGCACTGCAACTTTACCGCTAAGCTACCAGAGCTCCCTTTTGACCTTGTAAGAATGGTTATGCTAAGGAGACAGTTCATCTCTGGTGTTACTAATCACTGCTGACCTTTCTTTTGTTTGGCTGGAAGTTGAACCACAGCATGAGGTTTTGTTCAAGGTTTTAAGAGTGACTAAGGGCCATAGTCTTTGAGGTTCCAGCATTACCAGAACAGTAAGCCCGACCATTTTGATATTTTTGAGTTTTGTTCCATATTTCAACCCCACTCTTTCTAGAACCTTCTACAGTGATTCCTTTTAGACTCACTCTCTCTAGAACCTTTCCAGAGTAGTGAGAAGCAACGATGTCAGTCTAGAGGCTTAAGGTATGCCTGATCTAGTCCATGGTCTTCACAATTACTTGCTGTGCATCAGAGAGCTGGAGATAATGACTAACAAGAAGAATTAATGCATTTGAGTTGTGGTGCCAGAGAAGAGTGTTGAACACATGAACCACCAAGAAAACAAATAGGTCTGTCTTGGAGAGAGTGAAAACAAGTTTCTCTTGGAGGCTAGGATTTTAAAGCTCTATCTCACATACTTTGGGCATGCAGCCAGGAGGGAAGGATATTTGTTTTCTTGTAACTGAGCTTCATTCAGTCCATTATTGCAAACCACAGTTCTTGACTTTATGTAGCAAATATTTCTAGCCCTCCTCAGTTTCAGCAATAGCTAATTAAGGGAGCTCCGGCGGCTTAGAAGTAAAGTCTTGTGCTGCCATACCAAAGGCTGGTGGTTTGAATCCACCAGCTACTTCTTGGGAGAAAGATGAGCATTTGCCTCCTGTGTGATTTACTGCCTCTGAAAACCAGCTCTAGGATCAGTTGTGGTAGCTAATTAAAAAATGTGGCCAGAGCTATCCTTAGAGGCCAGAATAGTGAAACTTCATCTCCCATGTTTTGAGCATGTTGTCAGGAGGAGAGAGTCTTTGGGAACAGAATCGCGCTTGGAAAGTAGAGGGTTGATGAAGGAGCAGCAGATGCTCAGTGAGATGGGTTCACACAGTGACATCAGTGGGCGTGCGCATGACTGAAACGGTGAGGGTGGCACAGGAGTAGGCAAGGTAAGGATCTACTGTTCCGAGGGTATCTCTGAGTCAGAGCCCACTGGGCAACACCTAACACCAACAGCTGATGATGTTGAGCATCATCTCATGTGTTTTTTGACCGTCTGAATATATTCTTTAGTGAAGTGTCTTTGCTTCTCATTTTTTAATTGATTTGGGGTTTGTCCTTGTTGAGATGTTAGAGATTTCTAGAAATGTTAGACATGAATCTTTTATTAGATATATTTTTGCTAATTTTTCCCCACCAGCATACAAGGACTTTTCTCCACCCTAAGGATTTAATTTGTAGAGAATCCCGAGAATTTATTTTATCTTCTGTTGCTTATGCTCTCTGGTTATATTTAATAGTCTATTTATACAGTAGATTAGGGCTCCTCTGTTTGCCCTATTTTATTTATCTTTAATAAATCTTTACACCTTGGTTCATCCTGAGTTAGTTATATAGTGTAAGATTCTTGTTGCCATTTTCTCCAAATAGATAATCCAGGTTTGCCAGTAATGTTTGTTCAAGAGACCGTCTTCCCCATTTAATGGATTTGGGCTCTTTGTTAAGGTATAACTGTTTATAGGTAGATGGATTTGATTCTGAGTTCCCAATTCTATTCCATTGGTTTATATATCCACCATTGTACCAGGACTAGGATTTTTTTACTGCCCTAGCTATGTAGTAGGTTTTAAGATCTGGAAATGGTTTTCTTTAGTAATGCTTTGTTGTTGTTGTTTGCCGTTGAGTCGAGCATGACTCATAGCAACCCTATGAACAAAAGGCCTGAAGCCCCTTTACAACTATCAACATTTATCAAAGTTCATAAGGTTTCCAGAGCATGTTGTATAGGAAGTAGATGCCACTCCTGCTTTACTTATCATCCGTAATCTTTCTTTGTATATTAAGTTGATTACTTTTCCATCTTTGCTAAATCTCTCAATTAGTTCCAGTAATTTTTTGGTGAGCCGTTCGGAATTCCTGCATATGCAATCATGCCATTTGCACATTGAAATAGTTATGCTGTTCCTTTGCAGATGTGGATGCCTTTTATTTCCTTTTCTTGCCTTATTTAGCTAGGGCTGCCAATACAGTATTGAATAGTAGTAGTGATAAAGGTCAGCTTTATCTAGTTCTTGTTCACAAGGGGAGTGTCTTCAATCCTCTCCATTGAGAATAATGTTGGCTGTTAGTTTTGTAGATATGCTTTTAATTACCTTGAGGGATATCCCTTCTATTTTTATTTTGTTGAGTGTTTTTCACCAGGAAATGTTGAATTTTTTCAGTTGCTTTTTTGGCATTAATTGGGCTCTTTTCTTTTGTTTTATTGATATTATGGATTCTACTGATAGTTTTTCCAATGTTGAACTGCCTTTCCATACTTGATATGAATCTTAATCATGAGATTTTTTTTTTATTATTGTTGTTAGATATTGTTGAGTATGACTCAAGTGACTGTAAACAACAAATCTGAGTCCTATCCTGAGCCATCCTCACCATCTCTGATACATTTGAGCCCATTGCTATAGTCACTGTGTCAGGTGGCTTCTTCTGTTTTGCTGGCTCGCCCTCCTTCCAACCATGATATCCTTTTCCAAGGAATAGCCTCTCTTAGCAACATGGCCACCTTTTCCAAGACATACTTAAGGCAAATTCATTCGTTTGTCAGTCCATGAGACATTCGGTACTCTTCTCGAAAGCCATAACTCAAACATGATTCTTTTGTCTTCCTTAATCATTTTTGAGATCTCAGACACATAAGAAGTAATAGGAAAGACCATGGCCTGAATGAGGCATACCTTAGTGTTCAAACTGACATACTGCCCTTCATTGTTCTGAAGAAGTCACTGCCAGTAAAGTTTACAGAAAAGGTAGGTTTTCATTCATTCATTGTCAAGGGCTATTGTTCTTCCTGGGGGTATCTTCCTGGCTTGGGTGTCAGGGTTATGTTTGCTTCATAGAATGAACTTAGGACTATCCTATCTCCTATATTCTGAAATAGTTTGAGTAGAATTGATCTTCACTGACTGTGGTAGAATTCACCAGTAAAGCTGTGTGAGACAGGAATATTTTTTTTGTTAGATATTTTTATAACCCATTCAATTCCTTCTTTTGTGATGGGTCTATTCAAATTTTCTACCTCAGGTTGGTTTGTGGTTTTTTCCTCTACCTCACTTTTTGTTACTTTAGTTAGATAATAGTTCCTGTATTTTTTAAAATTTGTTGAAGTATAGTTCTTCTTAGTACTTTATTTTTATCCTTTTTATATTTCAGTTTTGTGACACCCGCCTCTTTGTTTCTTATTTATTTGCAGTTTCCCTTTTTTTTTTGTTAGATTTGCTAGTAGCTTGTTAATTTTATTAATCTCTTCAAATAACCAAGTTCTAGTCCTTTATATTCTGTTTTTCTGTTTCATTTATTTCTGTTCTAATATTTATTATTTCCTTTCTTCTGAAAACTGTAGGATTTGTTAATAATTGTTTAAGATGTGTTAAGATACTATTTTGGTTTTTTATTCTTTTTTGATGTCTGCATTTATGATTCTCAATTTCCTTGTGAGCCCTGTCCATTCCCATTAGATGCAGAACATTTCTTAACTTTCATTTATTCTGTTACTTAGTTTTTAAGCAGGTGGTTATTTAAATTCTTGCATATACTGCTTAACATTTTGAATGGGATTTTGAAGTGTTTATCTCATTTTATGGATTGCATCTCAATGTCAAGAGGACAAAGATTCTTACCACTGGACCAATAGACAGCATTGTGATAGAGAAAAGATTGAAATTGTCAACAAATTCGTCTTGGTTCCACAATTAACACCCATGGTACCAGCAGTCAGGAAATCGCACTGGGAAAGTCTGCAATTAGGACCGCTCCAAGTTATTGAGGAGTAATGATGTCAGTTTGAGGACTAAGATGCTTCTGATTCAGGCCATAGGCTTTCTGATCACTTGCTATACATGCTGAGAGCTAGACATTGAATAAGGATGACAGAAGAATTATTGATGCTGTGAGATGTGGTGTTGGAGAAGAGTGCTGAATATCACATGGACAGCCAAAAGAACAAACAAATATATCTTTGAAAGGGTGCAGCCAGAGTACTCTTTGGAGGCAAAAATGATGAGGCTTCACCTCCCATACTTCAGGCATATTGCTGTGTGTGTGTGTGTGTGTGTGTGTGTGTGTGTGTGTGTTCGTGTGTTCGCCTCCCATACTTCAGGCATATTGCTGTGTGTGTGTGTTCGCCTCCCAGACTTCAGGCATATTGCTGTGTGTGTGTGTGTGTGTGTGTTCGCCTCCCATACTTCAGGCATATTGCTCTCTGTGTGTGTGCGCGCGTGTGCTTGCACCATTCCTTGGAGAGGGACATGATGCCTGGAAAAGTGGAGGGTCAGCAAAGGAGAGGAAAACTCTTGACCAGGTGGATTGACACAGTGACTGTTACAGTAGGCTCTAATGTGTCAGGAAGAGTTAAGATGGCACAGGGTAGGACAGGGTTCATATCTGTCATTCTTAGGGTTGCTGTGGGTTGTACTTGACTTGACGGCACCTAGCAACAACAATACCACATTTTAATTAGCCATGGTGGTGCATTTGGTTAAGCATTCAGATACTAACTAAAAGGTCAGCAGGCGTTCAAACCCACCAGCTACCTGAGGGAGTAGGATCTGATAGTGTGCTTCTGCAAAGACATACAGCCTTGGAAACCCAAAGGGTTTGGTTGGTTTTTTTTGGGGGGGGGGGTGTTTGGGTTGTTGTGGGTTTTTTTTTTTTTTTGGTTTTTGGTTGTGGTTGGTTTTTTTTAAAATTTTTGTTTGTTTGTTTGTTTGTTTCAATATATATTTCATTCTTTCTCAAAAATAGTCACAGAGTGCACAAAGGCATGATTAACAGGGTAGCTATTGTAGCATTGTTCATTACCACAGTCTTAGTTACCTGGTGCTGCTATAGCAAAGGATAGGTGGCTTTGAAGATTAGAAATACTTTTCTTACCGTTTTAGAAGCTCTTAAGTTCAAATCAGGGTGTTGACTCTAGTGGAAGGCCCGTCCAGGTTGGTGGTTTTGTTCATTGCCGTTGAATTGGAAATTGACTCACAGCTGACCTTCCAGCGTGTTTTCAGAGGCTGTAAATCACACGGGAGACGATTACTCACCTTCCTCCTGAGGAACAGCTGGTACCTTTGGAATAGCAGCACAACTCCTTGCCTTGTGGCCACCAGAGCTCCCCATGCATTCCTCGACATTGACCTGTGGACTCGTCACGGGGTACAGGGGCCAGCAGGCACACACTCGTTTGAGTACCCTGTTGGTTTTCCTGTTACCATACACCCCTCAGAAGGGCGTTGGTTTGGTCCTTGCCGTACTCAGATACGATACAACAAATCGATACTGCAATTTCCAAACAAAGTCAGGGAGTTAGTACTTCAAACATAACATTTTTAGGGGGAATATAATTAACAAATAAAACGTTCATCAATAGGAGTGATTTAACAATAGTAGACCTTGAAAAAAATGGGTAGACCTTTTAGAGCAAAGTATCAGTTACAAGAATGAAATAAATGCATATATAATAGAGATACATGTCTTTATCTTTTAAGTGGGAATAAGCATGTATATACTTGTAACTGTGGCATAATTGAATGAACTTTTTTTAAAAAAAATTTTTATGTCCTTGCATGCTATCTTCTCATTTCTTTTATACAAGTTGGACAAAAATATATGAAAATGAGAAAATAGATTCAAGAGATACAAACTTGAGAGAAAGATAAAAGGAATGCTTTATATGAAAAGTTGACATTAAGTCTAGTAATAGAAAAATTCATTTCCTGAATTTATACTTTTAATAGAGAAAGTCTTTCATACATAGTAAAACATCATTTTACTTTGAGATTCTGGGTATTCTTCTATCACCACTACCAAAATAGTCAAATCTGTGTAGTAATTTTTCATGGTAAAGTGACAAAATCTGAAATTGGAAAGGTCCTACTGAACAAGAACCCAGGGGACTTGGGGTCTGAGTTTTAGTGGCACTTCCTGTAATGACAAGGCTGACTAAGTAAGTAGAGCACAGCATTTTTAGTTCGATGCTTAACACAAATAGATCGTTTTTTAGAAACAGTGGGCTTTGAGATTTGTTGTTACGTACCTTTGAGTTGGAACCAACTCCTATCTGACCTTCCAGCAGGTTTTCAGATACAGTAAATTGCATGGGAGGAGATTGCCTGTTTTTCTCCTTGAGATTAACTAGTAGATTCAAACCACATGCCTTTGAGTTGGCACCCTAACTCCTTAGCCACCAGACAAAAGAAAGATTAGAGATCTATTTAATTAGATCGCATCTAATGTATAATTTGGTATTCTGGTCTAAAAAAGTAATTGATCCTAAATCATTGTGAAGCTAATTATCATGTAGTAATAATAAAGCATAATTTAGTAGTCATGAAGGGTCTGTATACATTGAAGGGGCTGTAGTCTCGGAGTGGGCAGATTATTGAATCTGAAAGGTTTATGTTTTATTTCTTTTACCAGAAGCTTGATCTCTTAAGCTCTACTTGGAACTTGAGTAGTAGGCAAGCAAGTAAAGTTCTCTGCTGTTTATTTTGATCCCACAGTCATTGTGTTTTCTTTCTTTCATGCACCGTAGAATGGGGAGTGCTCTCTTGTCCAGATTTGACTTGGTCTTTATCCTGTTAGACACTCCTAATGAGGATCATGATCACTTACTCTCAGAACATGTGATCGCAATGAGAGCTGGAAAGCAGAGAACTGTTAGCAGTGCCTCCGTAGCTCGTGTGAATAGTCAAGATTCAAATACTTCGGTACTTGAAGTGGTTTCTGATAAACCTTTATCAGAAAGACTAAAGGTATAGATGCTTCTTCTTAATCGTTCAGTTCTGTTTATATGTCAATTCAATGCATGACTTATGGTAGAAAACGCAACAACTCAATTAATTGTTGATTCACACCTTACTCCTAGCTGACCCTCTGGTGGGTTTCAGGAGACTATAAACCATGTAGGAGATTGCCCATTGCCCTCCTGGGGAGCCGCTGGTGGATTTGAACTGCCAGTGAGGCCCTGTCTTTGGGTTAGCAGTGCAACTCCCTATGGACTATGATGCCACCAGACCTCCCTTATGGTAGAGAACTACTGAATAAACTTATACCAAAGCCTTGAAGTAAAGACTGAGAATTAAAATGGTAATGCTTGTTCTATTTGCAAATTCTTTTAGAATTTTACATTTGTATAAACTGTTCTTGTAGCAGAAACACTTTATTTTGCTATGTATTCTTATAATCCCAGGCTTTTCTTTTCACTCTTCAGGTGGCTCCAGGAGAAACAATAGACCCCATTCCACATCAGCTACTTAGAAAGTACATTGGCTATGCTCGGCAGTATGTCTATCCTAAGTTATCAGCAGATGCTGCTCAAGTTCTTCAAAATTTTTACCTGGAGCTACGAAAACAGAGCCAGAGGTTAAATAGCTCACCAATAACTACTAGACAGCTGGAATCTCTAATTCGCTTAACAGAGGTTTGTTTATTTTACGTTTTTGCTTTCTTAGCTTAACCAAAAGTAGTGGCAGGTGCTATATAGTTGGTCTTTTGAACATTCTTATGCATAAGTGGATTGATTTGTCTTTCTGTTGAATTGTTCTATACTATTGAGGCAATTCTGATTTGGGCTTAGTGGTAAGAAGCTGTGCTGCAATCCCAAAGGTACGCATTCAAATCCATCAGCTCCTCTGCGGGAGAAGTATGGGCAGATCTCCTGTGTGATTTACTGCCCCTGAAAATCCACTGGAACGTCAGCTATGGGTTGGGTCTTACTCAGTGGTACATGACAGCAGAATTGTTCTAGAGGGCTTCCCAGGCTATCTTCTTTAGGAGAATAGAACACAGCATCGGTAGCTCCACTCAGAGGTTCATACTGCCGACCTTTCCATTAGCATCTGAGTTTTTAACTATTGTGGTCCCAACGTTCTTTTCTCCTACTAATAGACATTAGAAATACAGAGATAATATTTTTGGGTTTTTTTATAATAGTTTCTTAAAAGGTTCCATCATATCTACCACATAATGATCAAAGTGTAGCAGCTTCTTCCTAGGGAGGGGACCAGTTACTTACTTCATTTTTTTTTTAATAAAATTTTTATTTTATATTGATTTACTTACAAAATCTGTACACATTGTTTTTCACACCGAATCTTCCCCATTTTCTTTACCCACCTTATTTATTTTTAATGATACCCAAGAGGCTCCTAGTGTGTTTCAAGAATGCTTGGGTTAACCTAGGGTCCTGGGACTTTAACTTGAGTTTATGGGACCATGAATGTGTAAATGGTTCTGAGTAGTTTATTTGAACATGCCAAGTTTATGATTGTATTGTCTTATTTTTAGGAATACAGCATCTTTTCACAACTGTGGAATCTTCTAGTTAAATTAACTGAGTCCAAGTTAGAGCTTTTTGCTCCTAACTTTTTATTAAGTTCTCTTTGTCGTTTTAACAAATTGGTTTGCATGCATTCTGAAAATAACAGTCAAGGAAAATGTAGTTCATGATCAAATTTTCTGAATTCAGCACTCTAAGAAGGATATGTCAATGGATAAAATAGCTCTTAATCTATAATTCAGTTAACTGGCCATTTTCAGGCTTACGTTTTATATCTTTTCTTTTTAAATACTTGTGAATTCTAACCCTCTTCCCAAAAACTGTTTTTGTGTAAAGTGAATAAGATATATAAGACCTGTTAAAACAATCATAAGTACATTCCTCTTGTTATTTGTCATGACTGGACATGGTGCTTTCTTTTGAAGGCACGAGCAAGGTTGGAATTGAGAGAGCAAGCCACCAAAGATGATGCTGAAGATATAGTTGAAATTATGAAATATAGGTAACCTTAAATTTTAAACTTCTACTTTGCATGAATAAGCAATTATACTCTTATTTCAAATTATATATTCAGACAAGCAAAATTATTCAACACTGGATCACTTCTTTTCCGTGATCACAGAGTATTTCTGTGTATATAATCTTTGTATTTGTTAAACTGATTTGTATGGATAATATATTCACATGGTTCTAAACCTATTTGACAAGTACACACTTTGAGCAGACTTCCTCCTGACTCTGCTTACCATCCTTTTCCCTCCTATCTTTTTATAAATAAGATACTATTACACTGCTTTGTACTTTTTTTAAAAATTTGACAATAAGTTAGAGACTTTTCTCTACTAGAACATAAGAGATTTCCTACCTTTCATAGCTGCATAATACTCTTGTATAAATATGCCATTGTTTAGTTATAAACAGTCCTGTATTGGGCTGGTTACATTAACAAACAATGCTGCAGTAAATATTTTTAATATAAGATACTTTGTATATGGATGGTTAAATAATGCAAGATACTTTGTGTATGGATGGACTGGAGGTTACAGAGCCAACTTCTGAAAAATCAGCTATTGAAACTCTGCAGAGTAGTTCTACATAGACACACTTGCAGTCACTGGGGGATGGAATTGAGCCACAGTAGCTGCTTCCCCCCTTTATCTGGTGAGGTATCATCAACTTTTGAAGTGATGTTTTACATTCAAAGGTAAAAGAGTTCAGTGTATTTTGGGGGTGTGTGTGTGTTTGTGGTAAGTTTTTAAAAGCCAAGGCTTTTTCCTAGATTTGCTTTGTTTTGTGTTTCAGTTAAAATTTTTTTAAAAAGAATTATTTAAAAGTAAGTAAATGCACTCATTTGCTTTAAAATCCCAGAGTTCATAAATTTACTATGGGTGAAGTTTTTCTCTCACTTTGTTTACTAGCTACTGAGTTCTACTTAATGACAACACGTTATCCTTTTTTGGCTTGTGACTTTTCAATGAGATGCACGTCACAGGAACCTATGTAGTCATGTAACCTTCTTCTGCATTTATAGATAGATGGTAGGATTATTCTATGCCTTTCTTACTTCCTGAACTTCATAGTAACCACTCAATAAATACGTACTTACATCTTTACTGACTGAGCTTCGCAGCTTCTTTCAAGCTTTTCTTTCTAAAACCTGGAGACCCAGGTCAAAAATTTCGACTCTTTTTCTATCTTTTTCACAAAGCATGCTAGGAACTTACTCTGATGAATTTGGAAACCTAGATTTTGAGCGCTCACAGCATGGTTCTGGAATGAGCAACAGGTCAACAGCAAAAAGATTCATTTCTGCTCTCAACAACATTGCTGAAAGAACCTACAATAATTTATTTCAATATCATCAACTTCTACAGATTGCCAAAGAGCTAAACATTCAGGTATGATAAATGAGGTACTTCCTAATACATTTTGTTTCCATAATAATTGCAGGAGTTCTTTACTAATGTATAGTAGATCCTTTAAATAGTGAAAAGTCTGGATTCAAAGAATTTTATAGACTTATTTTATCTGGAGTACTTGATAATACAAGCTAGCTGCTCACTCTCTTTAAAAAGGTTTTAAGATTTATACACACTTTCAGCATCTTGTTAAGGGAAAGCATTTTAACAGAATTCCATTTCCATTGTTTTCTGATAATAACTGTGGGCAAGTCATTTACATCTTTGTTTTCTCATCTGGTAGAAGGACATGATTTTACCTACTCCTACATTTTCTGTTTCTTTTTTTTTTTTTGTCTTAAAGGGGAATGTCAGCATGAACTTTAAACACACAAGACAATTAGATTCCGTAGTGTAGTGATTATCATGTTCATGTTCACCTCTCAAGAAAATTACCCACTTAAGAAACCAGCTAAGCTGAAACAGATAGAAAATTTCATCCTGAGCTTTTAACACTTAGTGACACAGTAGATAAGTGTTTGGCTGCTAACTGAAAGATAGTTTGATCCTCCTAGTAACTGACTTTGAAGGAGAAAGTTGTGGTGACCTGGTTCTACAGCCTTGGAAACCCCCTGAGGCAGCTCTGCCCTGTCCTGTGACATTCCTACAAGGCAGAATTGACTAAATGACAGTAGGGGGTTACCCTGAAGATAGCTTAATTAGTTTGACATCAGATCTCACTTGCAGGCAATGTAAATAGTTCATTTTCCCAAGAAAATCACCAGTTGTTACATTTGAGAGATTAATTTGAAAAATTACATTCTGGCATATTATATAGGCTTACACTTGCTGTTTTTCTTCCAGGTTGTTGATTTTGAAAACTTTATTGGATCTCTAAATGACCAGGGCTTCCTCTTGAAAAAAGGTCCAAAGGTTTACCAGCTTCAGACATTGTAAAGGAACTTTACTAAATCAAGGCTTACTGGGTTTATCATGTTAGTGTACAGGTAAAGAAACAAATACTGTTTTTTTGAAAATGGCATCCCAAACATGATGTCATAGTAAAAAAATATTAAATAAGGTGAACTGCTTTATGACATGAGAAAAGACGTGTTAATTTCTTACATTGTTCTAAACTGCTAAAAGAAATTATTTAATTTTAACTATACAATATTTATTGTTACCTTTTACTTATTGTTTCTTTTATACATATTTCTTAGTTTTGCATTATCAAATGTCCATTTAGGTAAGCATTCAGAAAGTTACATATTAGTGTATAAATTACTCCAGTACTAAACTGTGAATGAATACTTTTCAGAAATAAATTGAATTCAACTTTAAATGGTTAAAAAAAAGAAAATATTTTGTTGGCATATTAGGTTTAACATCTTAGCAACGGAAAATTTTCTTAATATCTTAAATTTAGACACCTTATGCACTTAAGGAAAAATATTTTCATTACAAAAGTTTAAACATACACCTGCTAAATAGTTGTACATGACTTACTCAAAACCCCTGCAATCTCTGCTATACTCTTCTGTCCTCCCCAGTCTTCTGCTCCATTTCATTTGTTCTCCTTTTTTACTTCCTTACATTGTAAAGATTAATTTTGCTAATTCTTTTTTTTCCAGGTACATTACTGTTTATTTTACTTCTTTTTACATTTATATTGGTTTGCATACAAATTTGTATATATTGAATTTCATTCATGTACTTTGTGTTTCATACATGCCTTCAATTCACATTGGGTTTCAGTCCTCGTATGTTGTGTTTTATATTAATCACCACTGATCTTTGCCCACACTTGCCCTGTCTTTTCAGTCCCCCACTGGATCTTTCTTAACTCCTTCACCCCCTCTCTTGGCAGATCAAAGTCTGTGACCAGTGATTTCTATGAGACTTGAGTTAGTTCACTCAGCATAATGCCCATCAGTCTCGCCCAAGTTATGTAGAATTTCTTTAAATCATTGCTCCTGAGTGCTGCATAGTATTCCATTGTTTGACTGTACCACATTTTCTCAATGCATTTGTTTGGGCTGTTTCCATGTTCTCATAATTATGAATAACACTACTGTGAACATCAGTGTACAGATTTCCATTTGTGACTCAGTTCTATTTCCTTGGGGTATATTCCTAGCAGTAGAATAGCTGGGTCATATGGAATCTCTGTGTTCAGCTTTTTAAGGAAAATAGTCTTGCTAATTCTTAAATTATCAGTTTAAATCCTATCTGCTAACACCCTACCGTAGAAGCTGTAATATTGTGTCAGTAGTCAGATAAATTTCTGAAGCATGCTGAGCAATAAGCAGAAGCAGAGGATTCTACAGCAATCTGTAATTTTTCAGGACCAAACACTAAAATGATTGAAAACTCTGTACAAACAATTTCTAAAGGTTATGGAAGAGAATGGCATAGTTATATTTACTGAAACATCAGATGAACTGAGAAAAGAACTGGATGTGTCACAAAAAAATGTTGAAGTTCTAAAGGAAAAGATAGAAGTTCTTGGCAAACATCTTCGGTTCTTGTCGCGTAGTTGAGTGTTTAAAGAGAGACTGAGTGTAAGAATACAACAGTATGCTAACATTAGCTGTGTTAAATCACGTGATCATGCTTGGACATTCTGGTTTAAATGTCTGTGAATCAATACCTTCTTTGTTAATCCCAAAACTACCTTTCTGATCACCACCAAAGCCTGAACAGATGTCAGTCAGAGCAGTCTGAACGGTATAGATGTGGAGCTCTCAGCACTGTGGTGGTGTGGGGCTGACTTTCTCCTCAGCATTGTTAATTCATGTTTAGCTTTAAAGAAGATATAATTTGGGGCCTTAATAAATCTGTATCAGTCCCAAAAGAAGAAGCAAACAAGGATGGAGGCTTACTGTGGCTTTTCCTTGTGAAATATAGGATATCTTACAAAAAAAAAAAATAGCTGCCAAGAAGCTCTCAAGCTGGAGCAGGCAGCCATCCTCAGGGGTGGAAGCAGGGATAGTCCTGTGGCTAGGGTTCTCACAGGAACCAGATGTGCACTTCTCGGTACACTGTTAAACATTACAGACTTGCAGGAGGAAGAGTTCAATGGGAAGAAAAGCTTGAAAGTGAGACTGACTTCAGAATATCTCTAAACAGGATTCTCAGTCAAGTGTCCTGGTTGCAAATGAAGAGAAAGTTTTTCCTGTAGTGGACAAATAGTCAATATTTTAGGCTTTATGGGCCCCATGGCCTCTGTAACAGCTGCTTAATTATCATTTTACAGCTCCACGTCAATTGGGGAAGGATTGTTCTCAGCACAAATTCAAATATACACTCTGTGGACTAGGCACATTATCAACTTTGTATGAAACAGATTGGTGAAATAAAATAGCTCATATCACACCTATGCTATCTTATTCAGAAGAAAAGCAAAAATGCAGAGGCTTAAAAATGCCTTTCCTGGCCTTGCCCCTTGTTCATATTCTGACCTAAATATGGACCTCCATGAAACTCCATGAACAAAGGCAGGTATGTTTCAGAGGCAGTTAATCACAAGGGAGGAGACTTAGACTGCTCATTTTTCTTCCATGGAGCTGATGATGGCTTCAAACCATGTACCTTTGGGTTGCCAGTGAAACTCCTTACCACTAGACTACTAGAGCCCCCTATTGAGGAAACTAGCATCACTGAAGCTGACTGCAACTGCTGCCTAGACATTTTTAACTCTAGTATAATGAATCGATGTAACCATTCCATCCATAGCCTCCCATTTTGTGATGAAGTATTTAGTACAGAGATGAGATTGGGTGGGATACAAGCCCTACCGTCCTAGAGGCTCATGGAAGCTCAGTGTTGACCCTCATTCTCTTGGGAAGCTCATGAGAAGGAGCCAGGGCCAGAGCCCTTGAGGTGGAGACAGAACTGAGGTTTTGCTTGCTGGACAAGTGAAGGAAGAGCTGACTTGGGACTGCTGCCTCACAGAACCAGACAGAGGTCTTTAACTCAAACTTCCTGGAGAACTAATGGAAGATGCCATGACTATTAAGAGCTGATTTGTGATTACTGCCTCACAGAACCAACAACAGGTCGTTAGCCTAGATTTGCTGGGAATTTGAGAGAAGACTCCATAACTGGTAGGACCAAGGGAACTTTGTAACGCTGACCTGCCATGAGACTGAAGGTCACAGAGCCTGCCTGTGACCACACTTTAGCTTCCAGGACCGAGGGATTGTATCCTGCTGCTAACCTGGATTATAACCTATTAATGTTGAGAGATATAAAAATTGACTGTCATGGATATGTAATGTTAAAATATAAAAATGATTAAGGTTTTTGTTGAGTTAACTATACTGGATCTTTTTCTACTGAGATATACTAGATTGTGGAAAGTATGATAGACTTAGTAGATACTGATTTATTCTTTTACAAAGCAATCTTAATAAATACTGGATGTTATAATGATGAGACATAATTTAGAGGGAATAGTGTAAGCTAGTTGAATATTAATTGACTATCCAAAAAGGGAGGTTCTGCCCAAAGAATGCTTATAGTAAGTAGTAGTTTGGAACAGGAGAGCTTAGCCTAAGATAGATTAAGCCCCACCCAGTACTCTGAAGAGAGTTGAATTTGTAGAAAGACAAGTGGAAAAAGACTTTGTCAGTAAATTGAGGCAAAGTAAAGCTGATGTCCATCACGGCTCAGCTCCCTCTCCAGGCTTGATGTTAAAGGAAGTTAACAACTCACGATGGCCATCTCTGTCCACTTGATGAGTAGAAGTGGGAGATACGCAGTAATGAAGATACGGGCTGAGTCTGAACTTGTTCCTTCACTGTCCACCTAGCTGATGAATGGATAAGTGAAGAAGGGTTGCTGGTTTGTGGAGCAGAGTCCTGAGGATCCCTGATGTGCTGACTTAGCCCATGTGGGGATAAGGTTGAGTGAAGGGACCAGCTGGTCTGAAACAAAGGAAGAAGTGTGGACGCCCGAGTTTGCAGCTGATGCCCAGCCACAAATGACTGGGATTGTATTAACCCCACCTGATGAAGAAAATCTGTTTCATTCTGTGAACTAGTGTTTATTACTGTTACCTGATGGTTTGCTCTGGACTGGACCTTTATTCATAGATGCAGATGCTCAAAGTCAAGTGTAATAAATGAGTCTTCAGAGAAAAAGACATGCTTGTTTCTTCAGAGTACTGGTTTGATAGGACTGGGCAGATCAGAAATTGACCATCTAAAATAAGGGGATTAAGACAAGGAGTGAAGCAGCTGGCTAATGTACTTCCATGGATATAGAAGAAGGGAAAGTTGATCCTTCAGATAATGAAATAATGGCTAGAAAAACCAGGAGGTGGTGTGAGATGTCAGAACCTTTGAAAAATGGCTTTTCTAGTCACTGCATTAGCCCCGGTTTTGGGGGGCATGGGCTCTAGCTACTTGTGAGAGACAATGGAGGGAGGACTGAAGATTGTGAGAGACTGTGGCAAGGTATAACCAGAGGCACCCTGGAAATGGAGCCACAGTTAAATGTTTTGCTTGCTGGATGATTGAAGGGAAAGTTGACTTGTAATTGCTCTAAGATAAGGTTTAATGGACTCATTGAGGAAACAAAAGGTTTATTTGTGTTGCTGAAGTGAACCTATACTTGCACTTGTGACTGAGAAGCTGTCTGAACTAATTAAAAAATTGTGTCTTGCTGTTAATTTGGCTTATGAATGCTGGACTAAAACTGGACTTGCATTGTGTGATATTCTTTGCCTTCCCCACTCCCCAACCTGTATTTCCCTAATAAACCCCACACTGTGATTAAAGTCTGTGAGTTAATTTTCAACAAACATTGGACCCAATAATTGGTGGAAATAGGTGCAGGAGTATGCAGGGTGGTGTGGCTGATAATGTGGCAGTTGTTTGGTAATACAGATATTATTGATGGGGACAGTTGCCCTTGTGAAGCGGGTAGCAGTCAAAACTTGTCTGCCCTCAGGTTGCCTCTGCTCTTTTTACAGCTGCTGTGCAAAGAA